ACGTTTGAAGCTTGGACTTCAATATGCTGTCAAACTAAAAGCCTACTCAGATAATCCTGCCTACAGCTGTGTTTTTAATCCAATTTATGAAGATATTTTTGCAAAACATGAAAATAAAATTCCTCCGTTAGGTATACGTTTAAAATCACATTTAGCTTCTTTTGATTTAAAATCTGTTGCTCAAGTTGAAACTTGCAAATGTCCTCCATGGGAACTTCCCAAACCAAAAATGATATTTGATCTCCGTGAACACAATAAAAATAAAACAAATCCTCTTTTAATTCAGCAACACTATGCTGAAATCAAAGCCAATTATTCAGATTTTTCAGCTGTCTATACTGATGGATCAAAAGATGGTGACAGAGTTGCATCTGCTGCTGTTTTCAGGGACAGAGCTGCAACTCTCCGTTTGCCATCTGATGCATCGATCTTTACTGCTGAAGCAGAAGCAATAATTTTGGCTTTGAAATTTATTGCTTCTTCAGATAAATCCAAATTTATTATATGTTCTGATTCACTTTCATGCTTACAAGCTATACAAAATACTAAAATTAAAAACCCAACAATTCTCAAAATTTTATATGTAATGAGGAATTTAAAAATTCTTCTTAAAGAAATATTATTTCTATGGGTGCCGAGTCATGTTGGAATCCTTGGAAACACAGCTGTAGACCTTGAGGCAAAGAATGCCCTGGGTGACCCTTTATCTAACTGTGATATACCATATACCGATTTTAAATCTAATATTAGAGAATATGTTTTTAATATATTGAACAATGAATGGAGTAAAAAAGATGGTAATAAATTACATGAAATTAAACCTAATTTATGTAAACCTTTCAATAATTTTATGTGCAGAAAAGATCAGTGTGTTATTTCTAGATGTCGTATTGGTCATACTAGAATAACACACGAATATCTTTTAAAAAATGAAGTAGAACCACAATGTATACCTTGTAACTGCAAGTATACTATTAAACATGTTTTAATCAATTGTATTGACTTTGCTGACATTCGGAAGAAGCATTTCAATGTCAATAATATGTATGATTTATTTAATAATATTCCATTTACAAATATTGTTTCATTCTTAAAAGAAATTGGAATATATTATAAAATATAAAAATGTTGTTATATTTAAAACGATTTTAATTTTTATCACGTTATCTTAGTGTTGATTTTTATTTGTAAATAATCAATTTGCTTTAGTCTAGAATTTTAGTTTATTGAAAGACCTTTTGTCTGATTTTAAAAATATACCTTAAATTGTTATAATATTCGAATTAGATCTCGCCGCGATATAGCCTTTCTGTGCTAATGCGGCGTAAAGCAAACAACAATCAATCAATCAATCAATCAATCAATCTGATATTGCTGGAAAAGGCATGCCATAAATTACTGCAGTGATAACACCCTGCATTGTCACTTCTCAAAAATGCTGTAGTCACAGTAGGTTGTTGCTTTTTCAGAGCTAATAGTACATGTTGCAGCATACATGCTACACTGTACCAATCCTGTTTAACACCATCCATAACATGAACATATGTACGATGCTGAAATTAAAGAAATATGATTTAATGTTTTGTATATAACTTTTGATTAAACATTTATAAAACAGTAAAGCTTTAAATGTGCTTTTCTGGTTCTCGTGTTAGTCGATCTCCGAAACAGAGGACCAATCGATCATACTTCGGAACAGTACCTCTGACATTCAAAACAAGGATTTCCTCTATAATAGTTTTATAATTTATTACTGGAGCTCGTTGATTGATGATAAGGTCAAGGTCAAAATCGACAGGGCTTTCCACTTTGACCGGTTGCAGAGTGGTTGGACGACATAAGGAGATATAAAAGACTTGTTTTTCAGAGATTGCATTTTACTTTGTGATTCTCCTGTTAGTCTTTGCTATTATTATTTGTTCTTGTTTTCTGTCTTTTACTTTTTCTCATGTTAGTCTTTGCCCGAAACATCCTGGTCACAAATAATCATATTGTCTAACTCACATGAAAGATGCAAAGAAACAGCTGAAAGAAGCAACATTTTCTATTTGTATGTGTAAGTGGTAATAAAATGAAAAATAGAAACTCATTTTATGAATGTTTTTTTTTTATATACAATTAAATTTAAAATAAAATATCCCCACATTAAGATAAAATGCACTGCCTGAACGAAAAAAGAACCAAAACAACAAGAGAGATAGTTGAGAGTAACAATGTCCTTTGTTTATGAAGTAAAAACAAAGAGATACATATACTTAGCTGGTTACATTATAATCTGTTTTTCAGTGTAAAAAAAACCCAAGGGTGACTGGGGAATAGAAGTATGGTCCCCATTGGTCTTCCTCCGACCGGCGGTAAAACCCTCGCCAAAGTGGGGCGTCCGTTTGGCTGTGCGGGATGTACAAATTTGCAGCCACGTCCGGTCAGATTGGGGACGTTAGATCCGATGCTTCGTGTAAAGAGAGTGCCACGCTCTTTGCACGTTAAGAACCCTTGCAACAACTCTTTGAGGGGTCCGTAGGTGACCTGTTGCAAGGCTAAATTTCTGTCCCTATCCAATATACCCTCATTTCCCGTGGCAGTCTTAATTTCTCCGACCTCAATCCCAGACGCCTCTATTACAGAACCTACCTATTGTATCTATTGTTAATTTGTTATCGTCCTGAATATGCATGAAATATTTGCCACTGGACGTTAAGCAACCAACAATCAATCAATCAATTGTTTTCTATGATGTCATTTTTATTTAGAAGTCGTTCTAACATCCTCTTTTCATATTAGAAACGAAATAATTTATGGTAGTCATTTGTTAATATTATTTTTATCATATCTGTCTCTTTATGTCAGCTTTAACCACTCACTATTGCTCAGGGTAAAACTTCATGACATAAAAGGCTGGGCCTTTTTATACTAAAATAATAGTAATTCATGACTACCATAAATTATTTTTTAAATTGCCTTAATACTAAACTCACCTGCTCCAATCTTGGTTGCATGTTTACGAGCTTCCTCAATGGCATGCACTGTCACTCCTGAAATTAGCTGCTGTAACTCTGATTTTGTAATGGAATGTGCTATCATAGACAATAACCAGTATCGCCCTTACTGTCTGGCTGTTGTAGAATCTTTAATAATTTGGTACTTTGCCTTGGTGCAATTGCTTAAAAATAAAGAGTATTATTACTAAGAAGTTTCTTATATACTTGTACTCATTTCTCTAATTTTCGGTGACATTAACTATCTTTCAGCCTTTTGGTTAAAAAAAACACTGATAATTAAGTAGGGCTCCGTGTAAAAATCATGCAATGAGTGATACATGGGAGTCAACAGATTATCACCAAATTTGGTATGTTATCTTGCCTTCAATCAAGATTGATGAAAAAATATTCATTTTTGTTGCTAGGACACCTTGGTTGCGATGGCAACCAAGTGTCAGATTGTGGGTTCTGGTTTAGACAAATATACACAAATTACAGTATCTTAAACATTCTTTTAGAAACAATACATAAAAAAACAGACAAATTTCAGTGATATATATATTTATTTTCTGATATAATCTAAAGACAATAACAAAAAATAAAGAGATACTTCAAATTTTTTTTCATTGTTACCTCTGTACCAAAAAGGGGTACAACACCATTTTCTTAATATTGGAATTTTCTTCGTTTTGACCAATTTTGAAGTTAAATTTTTTCACAAAACCCCGCAAGTAACATCACAATATGTATATACAAATTAAAGAATACTTACTGGAGTTAAACCAGAAATAAAAAAAAAATTGTGCAAATTTACAAGATTCAAATAGATGAAAGGCTAAAGAAGGGAGGTAATCCATTATTCAGTTTGTCCTTACTTTGACCAATTTAATGATAAAAATTCCACAAAACTCAAGTAAAACTGTAATACTTTTAAGCAAATTAAAGTTTTTTAAATAAATATCTTTCAAAAAGAAACAAAAAATTATGCAAGTTTACTAAAAATCAGTAAATTCATGAAAAAAAAGGGAGGTAATCCATTTTGTTGCTTTTTTTCAATTTTGACCAATATCAAGGACTAAAATTCTAACAAAACTCTTCATTTTAAACTATAATACTTTTATGCTTATTAAAGTTTTTTAACTGAAAATCATTCAAAAAGAAACAATAATGTGTGCAAGTTTAAAAAAAAATCAGTTAATTCATTAAATAAAAGGGAGGTAATCCATTTTGTTGCTTTTTTCCAATTTTGACCAATATAAAGGACTAAAATTCTAACAAAACTCTCCGTGTAAAACTATAATTCTTTTATGCTTATTAAAGAGTTTTAACTGAAAATCATTCAAAAAGAAACAAAGGTTTGTGCAAATTTACAAAAAATAAGTAAATTCATGAAATAAAAGGGAGATAATCCATTTTGTTGCTTTTTCAAATTTTGACCAAAATCAAGGACTAAAATTCTAACAAAACTCTTCATGTAAAACTATTATACTTTTATGCTAATTAAAGTTTTAACTAATTAATTCAAAAAGGAATAAAAAATTGTGCAAGTTTACTAAAAATCAGTAAATTCATGGAATAAAAGGGAGTTAATCCACTTTTTTGCTTTTCCAAATCTTGACCAATATCAAGGATTTAAATTGTTCTTGAACTATTTCAGAGAGGAAATAATTTTTATTGAAAGTTTACATGATTCAAAATGATAAATTGACAATGCAAGTAGGTTATCTGTTTCAGTCTGACTTTCTTTTATTTTTCAAATTATTAAAGATAAAATTCTATCAAAATTATACAATTAAAATCATAAAACTTATAAATACATTGAAAATAAATGGATAAAATTGAATTTTGTATTTTTCATATATTTTCACAATTAAAGGAGTACAACATTAAATTGATCTTTCTTAGCCTGCTTATGAAGCAGCAATACAAAATCTACATAATAATGTTATTTAAACTTCATTAATTCAGAAAATAATGTAATAGATAAAAAATGGACAATATATTGTAATTAAAATTTTTATCAGATAGACATTAAGGCTTATAATCAAATGTGATTTAAACAAACTTCTAATGTCTAAAATAAGTTGACTGCAAAAACAAAAAAAAAGCTTTTCATCTATCAATGTTCATTATGACATATCTAGCTTATTTGAACAAATAAACCAGAACTGTAAATTGTGTGAACATCAATATACATAGATAACTAAGAACATAATAGAAAGCATTTTAATTTGTCTACCATTTGTCTCCTCTCAAACATTGAATAAAATAACATGTGACGTAAATCGTTCTTATTCTAAAGCATATTTGATATCAAAGTAAGCAGAATCTCTGAGGAGCTGTATCAACAGGGACCCAGGGTATGTGGTACAGCTTCTCAAGAAAAAAATGAATACAAATAATATCATTTTAATATGAGGGCACAGTCCTGAAGACTTTATTTTCCAATTACTTTCTAAGGAAACTGATCTAAGGAACCTTAATAACAAGCTTTAAAGTTTATGCACTATATTTTAACAGTCATTTGTTGGATTTGCAGAGTTAACTGATTCAATTAATTCAGATTGATTTATTGCAACAGCAGCAGCTACCAAGTCATCATCTTCAGGTACTATTTTGTTGTTGTTACTTGCATTAGCTGATACCAATCGAGAGAAGAAAGATGTAATTTGAGTACTATTCAAGCATTCATTTAACTGAAAAACCCGTCTGCCCTCAGTATCCCTCATAGATTTCATTTCTGATGCGACATCATCTGGACTGCATTTGTTTTTACTTTCTCTCCTTCATTGAATTTCTTAATAAGGAAGTTTTTTATCTTGGTAGGAAATCTATTCACCTTTCTGGCCCTTTTTAATGCCCAACCCATAGGAATGGTTTCTACAGCTTGTTGATTATCTGTACATTGGCTGGCAACATTTTTCTTCCTTGTAACAATGACATTGTTGCAGAGTTCTGCCCATTGCTTGCGAATGATATCATATACGGATTCTCTTTCTAATCTTAAATCATGTGTACCTAATAGAACATGATTTTCTAGAGTTCTGTAGGAAGCATAATGCTTAATACAAGCTGGTTCTGGGCAATCAAAGGAGAGTGTTGTCTGTAAAGCAGATGAACTGACTGGTCTTATTGTTGTGGTCTCAGTACTCATTTCATTTTCTACAGCATTACTTTCAGCTTTTGTTAACTTGATCTTTCCTTTGACCTTTGATGGCAGAACAAAATCTGTTACAAGAGTACATCCAGTTTCATTTTGACAATGGCCTGATAATTTGGTTAACTCACTATAAGTCATTGACAACCCATCCCCAATACCATAAGCTTTTCTGAATACAACACCAGATTCTGTGTACTGAACATCGTTGTAATGTGTGACATTTTTTAAATTATGAGTCTTGAGAACATGTTTTGACGTTTCAACAATAACATGGGCCACTTGACATCCAGCTACACCTGTATGAAAGGGAATTGAACTTAATATTATGTAATAAACAGCTGCGCCATGAGCGCATGATACGCCCGTCGTCTTGTGTGTGAATTTTTATGCAATAAGCATAAAAAGTTTCTGACATACGGCGTGACATGCGAAAACCCCCCTTTTTTTTTTACAAAAAACTCAATATCTCTAAAATAGAATTTGAATCAAAACCAAAAAGTATACAGATCTTTAGATTAATATAACTAAGAAGTGTGTAAAATTTTAAGCAATAACCATAAATCGTTTTTGAGATACGGCGTGACATGTGAAAACCCCCCTTTAAAAAAAAAAAAAATCAATATCTCAAAAATAGAATTTGAATTAAAACCAAAAAGTATACAGATCTTTAGATTAATATAACTAAGAAGTGTGTAAAATTTTAAGCAATAATCATAAATCGTTTTTGAGATACGGCGCGACATGTGAAAAACCCCTCCCCTTTTTTTACAAAATACTCAATAACTCAAAAATAAAATTTTGAATCATCACCAAAAAGTATACAGATCTTAAGGTTAATATAACTAAGAAGTGTGTAAAGTTTTTTGCAATAATCCTAAACTGTTTTTGAGATACGGCGCGACATGTGAAAAACCCCTCCCCCTTTTTTAACAAAATACTCAATATCTCTAAAATAAAAAAATTTGAATCATCACCAAAAAGTATACAGATCTTAAGATTAATATAACTAAGAAGTGTGTAAAGTTTTAAGCAATAATCATAAATTGTTTTTCAGATACGGCGCGACATGTGAAAAAAAAAACACACACCTGTTTTAGTTACTAAGTCCCGTAACTCAAAAAGTTTTAATCTTATTCTCACCAAAAAGTATACAGATCGTTTGACCATCATAAGTAACAACTATGTTAAGTTTCATGAAATTTGGATACGTCATTCTCAAGTTACGGTGCGACATGTTTACACCGGACAGACAGACGGACGGACAAAAATTGACGGGCGTATAAAAACTTAACAGATGCAATGATTATGTTTTGACCTTTGAAACTTATGTAACACATACTATAGTTTAACGTGATTTTGTTTATAGAGCTGGTAAATTAAAAATGTATTCGTGTACACCAATTAATCTTTTGAATAAGTCAACTGTCAATTAAGTGATTGTCTCTTGTGCTGTATTTCATAATTATTCTTTTTTTATAGTTTACTCTGCTATTGAGTCAAGGCTTCACTTTGAAGCTACACTGTGACCTATAATTGCTTAAATTTACTACTTTAAGTCTTGGATAGAAATATGTCTCAATGGTAATCATACCACATCTTCTTATGTTTATAGAATAAATTCACAATGTACCTTTTCCATAATCAATTGCAGTTTTCATGTCATCTGCATTTAAAATGTTATTTTCAGTTGCCACAAAGGATCTCATCTTGGTTCTCATATGAGCAATTTTTGAGTCACAGTAGGACTTTCCATCCTGAGCCTCTGAATATGAATATTGCTTTATTTGAATACCTGCAAAAAATCACAAAATAAACATGTACAAAGATTTGAGAGAGACTGCTTATAAACATCTTATTAATTCACTTTTATAATAAAGTTCAAATGTCACCAAAGCTCATATTTTGAAGTATTTTATTTATTTTAATAGCTTTGAACTAGGCTGAAGTTTCTGTTTGTATTCTTAAATATTTTGTTGTGTCTTTTTTTCTTGTTCAGATCATTTTATGATCTTTTGAATAAGTCTTCTGTCAAAGGCTTTTTTATATTTAGCACATATGATTGCAGCATATCAAAATATTGTTTTAAATTTGTACTGTTATGTAGTGCAACTTGACCTAATAGCATAACTTTTTTTGTTTTTTATCATAACAGTTCTTTCTAAGATGCACTGTTTTTTCCATATAGAACTTGTAGGACTAAAATGATAGTTGCAATATAAAATAAAATGCTCCGCTGGGCGCAGCTTGATACGACCGCAGAGGTCGAACCCTGAACAGTTGGGGCAAGTATGGAGGTGTAATACCACCAAATCATAGTACGTCACATCCGGTTGCATACGAAAATAGGTCGAAAAAAAATATTCCCTTGAATTTGACAGTTGTAGGTAATTGATCCTACATTTCATTGCAGTAAAACATTTCTGAGTCATAAACATATATCTTGGGTATTTCAAAGCACCATTATTTCTTTATTTGGGGTTTCTATAGAATATTTTGGAAACTTGAGGTTACATGGTTACTAAAGCTTGTACACATGTTAAAAAAGGGGGAAAATTTGATTGGTTAACTTCCAGTGATGGTTATTTTCTTATATGCAATAATGTTATGTGAAATTTTTTCTATAGTACTGGACAGGATAAAACTTTACTCATGCCAAGTATTTCTTTATTTGAAACAAAGATAAATTCTGCACAATTTTTTGAAAAGTGCAAATTTAACAAAGACTAATAGGGGAAAATCAATGGTGGTATTACACCTGGACACAACATTCAAGCTTGATACAGCTCTGAATTTGGATTGTGATGAAATATTTGACACAGCATAGGTTTCTGACACAGAAAGAATGTGGTCTAAGAACTTGATTTTTTTTAATTTACCTATTATGGTCCAATATACAAAATCAAAATACATGGTTAGATTCAGCATATCAAAGAACCCCATATATTCAATTTTTGTTGAAATAAATCAAAGTTTAATTTTGGACCCCAACTTGGACCAACTTGAAAACTGGGCCAATAATCAAAAACCTAAACACATGTTTAGATTCAGCATATCAAAGAACCCCAAGAATTCAATTTTTGTTAAAATCAAACAAAGATTAATTTTGGACCCTTCGGACCTTAATGAAGACCAATTTAAAAAAACGGGATCCAAAATTTAAAATCTAAATACATGGTTAGATTTGGCATATCAAAGAACCCCATAAATTCAATTTTTGTTGAAATCAAACAAAGTTTAATTTTGGACCCCAATTTGGACCAACTTGAAAACTAAGCCAAAAATCAAAAATCGAAATACATGTTTAGATTCAGCATATAAAAGAACCCCATATATTCAATTTTTGATGAAATCAAACTAAGTTTAATTTTGGACCCTTTGGACCTAAATGTAGACCAATTTGAAAACTGGACCCAAAATTAAAAATCTAAATGCACGGTTAGATTCAGCATATCAAAGAACCCCATAAATTAAATGTTTGTTGAAATCAAACAAAGTTTAATTTTGGACCCCAATTTGGACCAACTTGAAAACTGGACCAAAAATCAAAAATCGAAATACATGTTCAGATTCAGCATATCAAAGAACCCCATATATTCAATTTTTGTTAAAATCAAACAAAGTTTAATTTTGGACCCTTTGGACCTTAATGTAGACCAATTTGAAAACTGGACCCAAAATTAAAAATCTAAATACACGGTTAGATTCGGCATAAACATAATTTAAAAGCAGTGTAAGGGAAGTAACCAAAACGTTGGATTACCTCCCTTACACTGTTTTAAATTATCTTAATTGTTCATTAACCATTAAACAAGGAATTATTTGAATCTGGAATAATTTTGAATTCTGGAAAATTGACGAGAAATATATGATGAAAACTAGCCCAACTAAATAGGGTTAGCCATGCGCGCATGGCTAAGGTGGGTTAGTTACTAGTAGTTCATACTGAAATGATAGTGAAAGTAAAATTAACTTTAGCCATGCACGCATTTAACAAAGACTAATAGGGGAAAATCAATGGTTGTATTACACCTGGACACAACATTTACATTTCTAATCAATTTTCCAGAATTCAAAATTATTCCAGATTCAAATAATTCCTTGTTAAACTTACTTTATACATAATTTAAAAGCAGTGTAAGGGAGGTTATTCAAATGATGTATTTGATTTATCTCCCTTACACTGCTTTAAATTATGTTTTGTACTAAAGTATTTGTCCATTAACCAGGACAACCTTGTTTTTCCCCCTTTTTTGCCCCTAATTCCTAAACCGTTTGAGCCATAACCCCCCAAAGCAAATCCTAACCATCCCTTTGTGGTATGGAAACTTGTGGTATAATTTCAGAGAGATCCATACACCGTTCCACAGTTATTGTCTGGAAACTAGAAAATGCTTATTTTTGGCACCTTTTTGGCCCCTAATTCCTTAACTGTTGGTACCATAACCCCCAAAATCAATCCCAACCTTCCTTTTGTGGTATTGAACCTTATGGTAAAATTTCAAAGAGATCCATTCACCTAAACTAAAGTTAGAGTGCGAAAACCAATGTGTCTTCGGACGACGACGCCAACGTCATACCAATATACGACCGCAAACATTTTTTGCGGTCGTATAAAAATAAAAATTCCACTTTACATTCAGTTAAGCTCTGTATTAGTTGGTGGGGAAATATCAAATTATATCTCTTACCTGTTCTATTGCTAATTTGAGGAAAAGCAATCCATAAATGTCCGCAATGGTAGCAGCCTGCGTTATCAGAGCGAAGAAACATATCTGTCACCTGAGGTAGTTGGATTGTAACTGTTTGCAGCACGTGTTCCAACAGTGATGCCACTGCAAACCAATCGTATTTAACATTCTCAAGAACATGAGTAAATGTCCTATGCTGAAATAAATTATTGTAATAATGTATTTATCTGATATCATTCTTACTATCCAAAACTTGTTTGTCCTTAAAATACTGTAAAAAATGAGTTCTTGTATTGTCCATTGTCTTTGAACACTTCATTGAAGACCTTAATTAATTGTTACATTTTATTAGTATACAATATTTGTTAACATACAATTACAGTGTTTGCCACCTTAAAATCAAGTTTTACATCGGACTTTTATAAGTTTGTGAGTGAATTGGTCCAGTTTATACAACAATAAATTCCTTTAAAAAGGCGTTTAATCCTACAGTATTTTCTTTTAAAGAATATATTGTCCAAATTTACACTTCTGTTGAAATCATTAGTCATACTAAAAAGATATGTGTATCATATCGATTTCAGAATATAGCACAGTGAATCAGACAAATAATTTTTATTGCTTTAAAGATAAATAATAATGAGGTTTTATTATCATAAAATTAGTTACCCCAATTTCACCACTTTCATCTCTATAAATGCAGACACTGACATGCCAATGTTTTCCCCTTTGGCCAAACCAATCTGTTTGTTTCTCTCTGTATCTCATTGGTAGAAATTTCATGGCCCAGTCCATCACTCAAACTCCTTCAAATCGCTTTAAATTATCCAGCTTTTGAATTCTAAAAAGATCTTGATTAACATTTCTAGCAATATGAGCTTTCCAGTCATTGATTTTCTGTAATGCATCCTGGAAGTTTTTGGTGGTATCCTCTTTGAAGTCATCATCTCCCATCTTACCAATACCTTTGAACACATCATGCTCTATGCCATGTAACATTTCACACCTATCACACACTAATGTATGAATGTGCTCACAGGGACTTTGAAAATGACAGTTTTCAGGGTCACTCAAAAGCCATTGAAGACAATGGTCAGCACACAGGCAGTCTTTTTCCAGATGAAGTTTATAATCGGTTTTGAAATAAAGTTTTGCTGATGTGATATTTTTTTGTATCTGTTCATGTTCTTCAGTTGATAGAATGGATCTTTCATAAATCTGTTTTGAAATTTCTTTTAGTGATTCAAAACCTTCAATTCCCTCAGCTGCAATATTGTCTAAACCGTGTAAATTGGTGCAATTAGTAGCAGCCCAAGTATTTAGAATTTTAAATAAAGTTGATTTAGAAAGTGGTTCAAAATTTGATTCTGTGCAGTATGAAAAGTACAGGTCTATAATTTTGGAGTGATTTGTTGTTCTGATTACATCTGGTATAGTAATATTTTCCCCTGAATCCAATTTCAAATCTCTTGTACCATAGGATACTAGCTGCATAACTGAAATGTCAAAAAAAAACTTATGGCATGTTCCAGCTTGCTATCATCCATTCTTTGACGTGGTACTTTTATTTTATTTTTGACTTGTAGACCCAAATTTGTAGAGGTATTGAAATGAAGTCGTGCCTGGTCTATACGATACATTGTTATACCTGGTATTGCTATTTGAAGTTCTGCTTTGGTTAGTCTATTTGTGATAACAGATAGAATTTGCATTTTTAAGGAATTGTCCACTGTTTCCATGTAGAGTTTTGATAGATCTTCTATCATATCACTGTCTGTTGGTAAAGATTTGTCTCTGTTTTTAGTTAAAACTTCATCTTTAAGTAAGTGTCCTTGTTTTGGAGCCATAAAATCCAACAATGAATCAATAGATTCATGTGCTTTCCGCTTGTAATACCTGATTGTTGAATCTTTTACATCTTTAACATCTTTTGAAGTGTAGAACGTAAGGGGCTCACATTGATTGATTCCATTACCACATTAACTTTCTCCAGTGCAAGTTCACTACAATCACTCCAATTAGAAGTCTGGGAGTTTGTGGTCTGGGAGTTCTTTTGTGAATTCTGAAATAATATGTATAAACATAAATAGACAATAAAACAAGAAGCTCCTAGAAAATATGAAGAAAAAAAACAAATAGTTATCTTGGTGTAGTCAGGGGCTTACAGAATGTTTACAGAACATATTTCTTTTAAAGGTACAAAATACTTGTGTTACTGTCTTAGCAAACATAAATGAATAATTTACCTCGGTCCTCCCTTTTACAGAAAATGTCAGTTACTAAAACAATGCATTGGAACAAAATATTCTGCTTATTTTTCAAATTAAAATGTAATAATAAATTACACAAATTATTGAAATTATCATGGATATCTATTAAGATTTATTCATTCATATTTCTGTGTGTAATTATATATCTATTAATTACCCCCGGGGTAAACAAGAATGGGGTGCTATTTACATCCTGGTAGTCAACCAATCAGATTGCAGGATACATAAATTTTAATATACCTCAGGGTTTCTATGTAAACTTTGACTTCGCTTAGGCCCATTTTGAATTCCCATTAGTCTATTTGCCAATTACCAAATTTGACTTCGTTCTTTAAAATTTCCACTTTAAGGGAAGTAATTCAATCCAAAATTAGATCATGTGACACCAGACATGATGCCTGATTTACTGAACAAACCCTTATAAAAACGGCATCTTGTAATGTGATATCTATTTATATGTTACACAAAACACATTTACAGATAAAATGTCGCTATTATTTCAACCATGTACACCAAAAATGAAGTTTTGAAACCGTACAGGTTGAGTTGAAATGATTTTTACATTTGGTTAGTTAACGTTGGAAATCGCAGAGTGTGTCCGGGACTAGAGTTGCTCCCCTTTGTATGAAGTGTAAAATTTTAAGTCAAATTTGGGTATTCCATGCTAATTGGCAAGTGGGCTATTGACACCAAAATTAAAACTCTTATTCCAAAACCTTCATAACTGCATATCTGGGTATGCTCGGATTAAAATTAAGTACTGCTTTTTAGAATAAATGATCAAAGAAAATTGGAAAAAAATTATCAATCTGTCCTTATTGGACTGCTAACAAGACTAAAACTATGGCAAGCCATTTTACTATTTATTCTAACTAAGATATCTAATTAACTTTAAAAGATATTTCATCTAGTTTATAAGATATCTTATGGAGTATATAACATATCTTATAGAGTACATAACATATCTTATAGAGTATATAACATATCTTATAGAGTACTAGTATATAACATATCTTATAGAGTACTAGTATATAACATATCTTATAGAGTATATAACATATCTTATATAGTTTATAAGATATCTTATATAGTTTATTAGATGTTTTATATAATTTATAAGATATCTCATATATTTTTCTTTATAAGATATCGTTAATTGACAAGCTTTCTTATACATTGTCTTGAATCATTAACTTACAGTAAAACTATCATAATCTTCAGTGTTGCTTGGTAGTACTTCATTTAAAATCTTTATATTTTCCTTTTCAATCTGAAAATTGTAAACATATGATGTAACATATAAGTTTCTTTTCCGAGTTTTCAACTGAACCATTTTATTCTATATATAGTTTTTTTATATACATAAATATAATAAAAGTAATTTGTTGTTTCTGTATATATGTATTGTACAAATTTGATGAGTTTATCCATTTTCAATTATATTTTTAGAGTTTCTTTTTATATTCTATTGTTCTACCACTGTCTCGGGTTAGGGTGAAGGTAGACACTGGCTAAAACATTAAAACAGATTGCATTTTGGTCTCTGGTGGAGATTTGTATCATTGACAGTCATCTGATTAGTCAAGCCTTTTTCAACTGATTTTTATAGTTCGTTCTTATGTTGTACTGTTACACCACTGTCCCAGGTTAGGGGGAGGGTTGGGATCCTGCTAACATGTTTAACCCCACACATTATGTATGTATGTGCCTGTTTCAAGTCAGGAGCCTGTAATTCAGTGGTTGTCGTTTGTTGCTGTGTTACATATTTGTTTTTCGTTCATTTATTTATACATTAATTAGGCTGTTAGTTTTCTCCTTTGAATTGTTTTACATTTGTCCTTTTGGGGCCTTTCGTAGCTATGCGGTATGGGCTTTGCTCATTGTTGAAGGCCTTATGGTGACCTACAGTTGTTAATTTCTGTGTCATTTGGTCTCTTGTGAAGAGTTGTCTGATTGGCAATTACACCACATCTTCTCTTTTTTATATTATTCATCCTTCAATGTAAACTAATGAAATTAAAATGTAATTGATGTGGGGTTGTGGAAGGGCACTTTTTTTTGGTTTAAATTTGTTTAAAAACATCCCTCTAAAAATGTTAGTCTATGTAATTTTTTATTAGTAAAATACCTGTTTTGGACGTAATCTATATTTGTTATGGTCTGCAATCTCACATATGTCATCTTGATCAGTTTCAATCTAAGGAAAAAAACATTTAAAAAAAAAACATTGATTACTTTCCATATAAAATAAACAGAGAATGTCTCCATACGCCAAAAATATATGCTTGCATATATATAATGTTATAAAGGGGCATAAATCTAGAACTGTTATGGTGACACAACCAAATTCAATTTAATCTGTGTTTTGTGGTAACAAGAGTGCACACGCTGAAATGTCTCGCCTTCTTTACTAACCATTGATTTTATGTTGATAGTCCTAAATATAAAGCTTTACTACAAGCAACACATAAACTTAACATGATCAAAGAAAATGAGGTCAAGGTCAGATAAACCAAACGAGAAATACATGTACACCTTACAATCATTCAATAAACCAAACATAGTTGACCTATCGCTTATAGTTTCTAAGAAACAGTCTTAACCAAAAAAACTTAACATTGACCAATGAACCATGAAAATGAGGTCAAGGTCAGATGAACCTTGCCAGACAGACATGTACACCTTGCAATCAATTCATGCATTAAATATAGTTGACCTATTGCTTATGGTATCTAAGAAACAAACTTAACCATGAAAACTTAACATTGACCAATGAACCATGAAAATGAGGTCAAGGTCAGATGAACCTTGCCAGACAGACATGTACACCTTGCAATCAATTCATGCATTAAATATAGTTGACCTATTGCTTATGGTATCTAAGAAACAAACTTAACCATGACAACTTAACATTGACCAATGAACCATGAAAATGAGGTCAAGGTCAGATGATACTTGCCAGACAGACATATACACCTTACAATCCTTCCATACAACAAATATAGTTGATCTATTGCTTATAGTATTAGAAAAACAGACCAAAACACAAAAACTTAACACTGAGAAATGAATCGTGAAAATGAGGTCAAGGTCAAATAAAACCTACGAGACTGACATGTACATCATAAAATATTTCCATACACCAAATATAGTTGACCTATTGCATATAGTATTAGAAAAAAAGACCAAAACTCAAAAACTTAACTTTGACCACTGAACCATGAAAATGATGTCAAGGTCACATGACACCTACCAGTTGGACATGTACACCATACAATCATTCCATATACCAAATATAGTAGACCTACTGCTTATAGTATCTGATATACGGACTTGACCATGAAAACTTAACCTTGTTCACCGATCCATGAAATGAGGTCGAGGTCAAATGAAAATTGTCTGACTGGCATGAGGACCTTGCAAGGTACGCACGCACATACTAAATATAGTTATCCTATTACTCATAATAAGAAAGAAATTAACATTACAAAAAAAGTGGACTTTTTTTTCAAGTAGTCACTGAACCATGAAAATGAGGTCAAGGACAATGGACATATGACAGACGAAAACTTAGTAACATAAGGCATCTATATACAAAGTATGAAGCATCCAGGTCTTCTAGCTTCTAAAATATAAAGCTTTTAAGAAGTTAGCTAACGCCGCCGCCGCCGGATCACTATCCCTATGTCGCAGGCTCGACAATAAGCATTGTGTTTAAGTTTCATAACATTTAGTTGAAATCAATACAAATGGACATGGGTCAAATTTAATGTTCCCTTCGGTTAATCTAATCATTGTTAAGATGGTAAGCACATCTAGTTATTGTCAGGTTGTCTCCTTGACACATTCCCCATTTCCATTCTCAAATTCTCAATTTTATTGATTGGCCTTGTAAACAGCTGACAGGAAAAATAACAATGAATGATTCAACCAAAGCTTTAGTATTTTTTAATTTATAATGTTGTTACTGTTTTTACCTTATCATGTGTCATAACAGGCTGTGTGGTATTTATTTTATCCTGGTTCTTTTCTTCAGTGGTATCTTTATTTGACTGCCAAAAAAATAAATAAAAATAAAGTGGTCATACTATATGCCAGCACATTTTATGTTAGCTTCTGGATAATTGATCCTATGTAATTGTTAGAGCTCCTGCAAATAATTTTTCATGTGTCTGTTATAGCTCCTGCAAATAATGTTTCATGTGTCTATTCGCAGGCAATAAAGATAACGTAATAGTTCATGTATATATATGTATCTTAATATAAAAGCTTCTTACAAAATAAGGAGTAATAGATGATTTTATTATCAATGTTAAATTAAAACACAGTATTCAGTATAAACTTAAGCTTGAGATTTTTCATAAAAAAATGATATTTGTATATTTTTACATGTGTTTCTTAGGAACTGAATTTATCTTTTTATAATTATCACTTTGTTAGGGTTCTACCTCTCTACTATATACCTTGACATGAATAACCTGAAAATATTTGATAATCATTCAATTGCATAAATATAAATAATACATCAGATGACAATCTGTCACAAGAAATGCGTTGACTGTATATTTTTATGTCATATACAGTCTCTGACCGTATATCACCTTGTCTGTGACGTTGACAATGTGTTTTGTCGTAGATTTTTGTCTCGCCTTGACGGAGTCAAAAAGCGAGACATAGGTATGCTCTTTCCGGCGTCAACAATGTATTAGTTTGTGATTAGGTCTAGTTTATGGTGAACCACAAGTGGTAGGTTAATGATATTTGGTATGCAGTTGTATTAGCATTGGCACATCTCATTTCCATGGAGATTATTTGGCCCTGCCCCCTCAGTCATGGTCTATTGACTTTGAAACTTTTGCTTAGTTTACATGTATTAGTTTGTGATTAGGTCAGTTTTATGGGGAACCACTAGTGGTAGGTCAATGACATTTGGTATGCAGTTGTATAAGCATTGGCATATCTCATTTCCATTGAGATTATTTGGCTCTGCCCCCTTAGTCATGGTCTATTGACTTTGAAAATTTTGCTTAGTTTACATGTATTAGTTTGTGATTAGGTCAGTTCAAGGGGAACCATTAGTGGTAGGCCAATGTTAATTGGTATTCAGTTGTATAAGCATTGGCGCATCTCATTTCCATGGAGAATATTTGGCCCCACCCCCTCAGTCATGGTCTTTTGACTTTGAAACTTTTGCTTAGTTTACATGTATTAGTTTGTGATTAGATCAGTTTAAGATGAACTGCTAATGTAAAGTCAATGATATTTGGTATGCAAATTTATTGGCATTTGCAAGTATCATTTCCATGGAGATTTTATAGCCCCACCCCATCATCATGGTTCATTGACTTTGAAACTTTTACATAGTTTACAAATTAATGTTTGTGTTTGGGTTTGTTCAAAGGGAACAACTTATAATAAGTCAATGGTATTTGGTATGCAGTTGTATTAGCATTGGCACATCTCATTTCCATGGAAATTGTTTAGCCATGTACCTTCAGTCATGGTTCATCGACTTAGAATATTTGCATAACTTACATGTTAAAGTATTGCTATTTTAATTTCAACATTTGCATTATCAAAATTACAAAAAGGCGAGACATATCTCTGTGATAACAGTTTATTATTTATGACATCAATAAAGAATTCAGGTTCGCGGAATTTTTATGTCGTCTGCTTCAATTTCAAAATGTTGGTTTTTACCCTTAATTTATCATTTGTAAGAAATTTCATTGTTGCAGTATTCTTCCTGTTTCTAAGCCTTGTACAAATAAATTTTATATTTTGAGACAATGTAAGGTTATTCTCTATATATACATACATTAAAAATAAGAAGAAAACCCACATGCTATTAAATATATCATGTTTCTTATTAGTTTCTACTATACAATATAAAGGGTAAGTCTTTAAATAAATTAGGTACAAGATCTTATAATAGTTTTGCATCTTAGTGTTATTCATATCCAAAAAAAGTGAAAAGATGTTTTTTTTTTATTTCTCAAGTATGGAGTTATTTCCTGACATAGGCTGAATTATTTATTTTCAGCTTTTTGCCAGGAGTCCAGGACAAGTTATTTATTTTCACAATCTCTCCCCTAACTTATTATTAGAAAATAAATGAAAAACAAATTTAGATAGAACAATACTATTGATTTATATCATTTTTTGCTGGTTGAAAAATAAACAACAAACCTGTGCCAACTCTACATAAAGTTCCTCAGCTTAATTGAACAGCTTCACACATCGGTGCAGACATTCCACGTTGTGCTTTACTGTTGGAGGTTGTCGGGTGTCTAACAAAGCCACACCTTACTTTTGGCCTCCATCCAATTCCATACTGATATCTGTGAGCAGGGCATACTGAAATCCCGTGGTCAGTTTCAGGTCTCCATTTCCATAACCCAGCACGTAAACAAAGCAACTCCCCCTCTGATTTTACCGACTTTTCACCCATGTTACACGCTCTCAAATGTCCAACAATGCTCTTATTACAATTCTTTATAAGTTTTATACAAATTTCATTTGAAAATTTGCTGGAAAGGCCACAGTCCCCCTCAAAATATTTGTGGAGGGAACACTTCCCCAACTCATCCATGGGGGCAGCCATCTTGTTACTATAAAAATAACAACAGTAGAGCGCCCCCTATGACAAAGGGAGATAATTTTGATAGTTTTGGAGGCAAAATTTGAAAACTTTTTTAATGAATTTTTCAGAAACAAAGGATTTGCACAAAATTTTTACGCATCTTATAAATACAGGTAACCATTATAATTTTCATAAAATCAAAATATTTTATGTAATAAAAGGGGTTTGTTGTTTATTGTGTGATGAATTATGGCACATTTCTAAAGGATATCACTATGATTATACATAAAATACAAAGCCCAATATTTTTTCAAATATATTATCATAGAAGAAAAAAACCTGGGTATAAGTTACTAGCAATCCATATTTTATTTTAAGCATGCAACCACATATATTTGTTCTGACCCATGTATCACCATTTCATTGATGGCTGCATGATTTTTACACGGAGCCCTACTTAACATGTGAATTTTTGTACGTTTGGCTAAAAATTGATTGTCCTGGACTCGATCTTGAATGCCCTTGATAGTATGAGGTGTTTTATTTCATTTATAAAAGCTATATTTCTTAAGCTCCTGCTGAAAATACTGTCATTTTACTATCGCGATTGGAGAAATCTGACAATCCACTCGTTACAATGTATGAAGCTTTATTCTGTATGTTATTATGTGCTCATAAAAAAATCTTTCAATCAACATGGGTCATGAAACATTTTTGGTGTGGCCCTTAAATTTTTCAGTGGGATGTCTTGCAAGAAGCAGGACCTGCTTCCCCTTCCAGAGCACCTGAGATCTCCCAAGTCAATTTGGAGTGCATGTTTATCATCTTTCTTAAAAAATGCAATGCTGAATGTAACTTATTATTTATCCTTGTGTTTCTTATTTGTTCAAAAGTTTGTCTTTTGTCCATTGATTGGCCTTCTTTTTGGATAGAGCTTCGGTTGTCAATTTATTTTTAAATACCACATTTTATTTCATGCCTAGTAAAAATTTACTCCTCATCTAGAAATAGTTGATAGTTTCTCCTGCTTTTCTTTTGACTGTGCGTAATAAAAAAGGCCGCAATAAGACTAAATCATGTCGTACTCTGTACTTTATTGGACTAATTTGTCCATGACCTAAGACATCTATGGCATCATTCAAATCAGTCAGAACTGTATCAATGTTTTCCTCACTCCATGATGATATTTGTGACAGCGGTTGAGAACTTGAAGTCTATTTCAAATAAAAAATTTAAAATATAAAATTGCAAATACTTATTTTACTAAGTGAAAATAAGCATTCCATATAGGAGGTTAATTTTGCTTATTTAAGCTTATTTTCTCTGTTGAAAAACAAATAACGAAAATAAATTCTGAATATTCTATGAAGAAGAAATATCTCCTTTCTTATTGTTTAGGGCGTTTCCGGAATCCTTTTCCACCGAAATTGACAGTTTATGTTACAAATATGGTGATTGTACTGAATGTTTCAAATGTCATAATTTTCAGAATGTTTTGGTCAACATTACACTTTTATTAGAATTACACAGCTAGGAAATGATTTAACAAAAGTGTGGGGCCATTTTCCAACCTTTCAAAGATCCATCAATTTCATCATGCTGTTTTTGTATAAAGCATGGGATACCTTATTCTACTAGACGAATAAATTAAATGCATACATTGTATATATACTTACATTTATGGTTTGAAAGTCTGAAAGTCTGAGTCAACCACTGCATCGTCAATACATGACTGTGAGTTTTCAAAACTTGTTGCTCCTTTATCTCGAGGCTTAAAGAAGAAACAAAACATATATATACTAGTATAAGCATACCAGAAGCTGTATAAGGTCATTGACCTTAAACGAGTCTCAATATCATTAGGTCACAGAGACACCTGAACAGTAAAGAAGTATCCATTGTGATACCGTTATGTTATACACTGAGTCTATCAAAAGCTCATTCAGCATGTGCTAACTTATATGCTGACTCTAAATGAATCTTATTATTAAATTTATTTTAAGATAGGTGGACCAAAAATCAAAGTATAAATAGTATCTAACAATTATCTATTTATTGTTAGCTGCCCCATAATATTGTCAGCAAAGGAGTTCCCCACAACATTAACAGATTAAATTAGTTGTTTTTGTCAGGTTATGACTAGATGTTATTTTGATTTTCTAATTTATGTATTAAGCTTTCTGTTTTGATTTTTTTTGGTCATCTCATACCAACATCATTGATATTTAGAAAGACTTACCTGTAGTGTAACTGTATTGTAAAATTGGCCATCTTCTTCTGCAGATTCTGCTACAGATAATTCTACAAAAGATTGAATTGAAATTATAAATTAAACAAATTTAAATGACCTGTCAGTAAATAGAACAACACAACACAAAATTATAAGCATACCGGTATAAGCATAACTAGAGAATGTGTCTAAAACATGGTATGCCCCAATCGTTCATCATATATTAATATGAAAACAAAAT